AGGTGACTATTGAATGACTGTATGAAATACATTTTACTACATTTTAAAGGTGCATGGTAAAAAATCTGTATCCCCAATGAGTATAATAGCAAAGTAGACAAACACGACATGACTGCTTTAATGGAATAGGCATAATACATATAATGTGGACAAAGAAGAAGGAATAGCTAAGACTTCTGGAGGAATCGGGAAAGGTTTCACAAAGAAGCTTAAGGCTGAAGTTTATGTAAGAGTTTTCCTGGTGAACTGAAGATGTGAGAAGTATTCTACAGAGAATGCTTCCAAAGGTATTGATGCATTGAGAGCTCAAGTAATTCAGTGTGCCCAGAGAGTACATAGGGGAAAGGCCAAGAGCTAATTTGGATTGCTGGTTAGGCGCCTTATCATAGAGCTATACAAAGACGCTTAGCTCTTACCTACATTAGGGGCAGCTGGTGGGGGGAAAAAATTAACAAAGAACCATGATATCAGATTTTTGTATTTAACAGACCAATTTGGGGCAGAAGACGGAATGCATAGGTTGAGACTGGAAGTAGGAAGATGAGAGAGGTGAGATTCTGAACTACATGGTAATAGTGAGAAGGAGAAGTAAGGGGAGAGAAACTAGAGTTCAGGATGAAGAAAGAGTAGAGGAAAGGAAGATGAGTGGCGTGATCCCGAGGTTCCCGTCTTGGGCAACCAAGTGTTTAATGTAGCCAAACAGTAAGAGCAAACCCAGGATGAGGAACAGATTGGTGTAGGACGGGAAGATATGTTCATTTGAATTAGAATGAAAATATCATGCTCTGGGTGTGTTAAATGAGGTTGCTTTTTATAAAAGTAGCTCCGCAGTCCTCTGCATTCGTCATGGTGCATTTACTCATCCAGCATTCTGCCTGAGGACTAACACTGCCCAGCAAGGTGATGGATGGGGGTGAGAGGCACGAGGTGCGTGGTCCCTGCCCTGCAGGAGCTTAAAGCTGAGTGGGAGAGTGGCCGTAAATTACACACGTAACTAGCTTGTATCATACGAGATGTCTGAAACGATGACAGGTAATTTTTTTCGTAAAAGGTAGATCCTATTTGCAGCCAAGTAGTGGTATCAGCCCCTGCTTCCTGCCTGAAGCCACGAGTCTCTTTTTATTTCATATGCTTTCTGTCCCTTCCAGTCCCAGCTGGCAGTGCTCCTGCTGATAAACTATTACCAAGCACCTTGTGGATTTCAGAGGGGATTCACTCCATTAGACAAAAGGCTCAGACACAGATTTTTTTTTTTTTTTTTGGCAATAATTCCTTTTCTAGTTTTGGCTTCAGCTGAGGTGGCCAAGGGACACTGTCACTGAGCTTCTTTGAGGGTGCCTGCTTTGACTGGGATCTGTGAAGCACACCTTTAATCTCTCGTGATAGAAAGCCTCGGACTTTCTGATTCCTCCAGAGTTGCAGGCAAAGGTGGTGCAGCCGCCCCACAGCTTTGACTCTGTGCCACACTTTCTGGAGCAAGCTTCTAATTTTAGCATCGTTTGCCATCGCAGTAGGGTGAGAATTTCCCAAATCATCAAGTCCTGGTTCCCTTTTTGTGTAACAGTTCTTTCTTCAATTTCTTTCTTTCTTCTCACATTTTACTCTAAGCAGAAAAAAAGAAATCAGGCCTCATCTTCAACACCTGGCTTTGAAATCACCTCAGCTCAATATCCAAGTCCACCATGTACAAGTTCCGTTACTACCTAACTGCAAGAAACAACTTTCCTAAACATGGATCTCTATTCCCCTGGTTTCCGGTAGCACGTTCCTTATTTCCTTCCGAGCCTCATAAGCAGCGTTCTTAGTATCCATATTTCTGCTAACGGTCTTTTCAAAGTGAGCAAGGCTATTTCTATCGTGCTCCTCAAAATTCTGACAGCCTCAGTTCATTACCTGATCCCAAAACCCTCTTCACATTTTTGGGTATTTGTTTTGATACTACCCTTGGTACCAAAATCTGTATTAGTTTTCTAAAGCTAAAAAATTAATGACCACATAAAGGAAATTTCAAACAATACTCACTGGTTATCTCGGTTTCGGTACATATAGGCAGCCCAGGCAGTCTCAAGCGGGTTCAAGGTATTCATGGCTGAAATCGAGGTGTCTGCTGGCTGTGTTTTCATCCTGAACTCAAAGTCCTCTTCCAGGCTCATCGTTGTCCTTGACAGGACTGAGTCCTTTGCAGCCACGGAACTAAGACCCCCATTTCTTGGTTGGCAGTTGGCCCGGGTCACTCTCAGCTCCTCGTCGCCATGTTCCAGCCCTTACCTGTGGCCTTCTCCATCCTCACAGTCAGCAGTGGCGCACCAAATCCTTTAAGCTGGGATTTTTCATTTCCGTTTAGTGTGCAATTTGTGGACTTTGATTCTGATACAAACTCCCTACGATGAACTTTTCAATAATGATTTCTGCCTTGGTCTGAGAGCGTACCTTGATTAAGATATTTTCCTCTCTCCAGCCTCTGGCTCTTGTTATCAAAAAGCGACGCCCTGTTCCTCTCAAATTGCAGGAACCCTGTGAGAGTTTCCTTTATGTGACCTATGCACATACCTGAATGCCTTGTTTTTATCTTATCAACTACAGATTGCAGGGTGAAATGCCAGGCTCTTACTCATGTGACATTTCTAAATTCCTCTGGAAGCAAATAATAAATGTATATAAATGAATACAAGTAACAAAATAAAATAGTCTTTTTTCATTTTAATTGAAATTTAGCCAAATTAAAATACCATGATAATGCTTGTTCACATTTCAAAGACTATATTAAATACATTTTGAGGTGTTACAGATGTTAGTTTCTAACTAGTGCGAAATCATTTTTGAAAAATAGTCGTGTTGATGTACATTTCAACGCACCCTAGTTAATTCACTAGTTGATTTCTTAATAGTTAAGTAACACTATGCAAAAACTAACACTAAGAAAAACTCTACTTCGCCTTCCTGAGGGAAGTTCCTTCAACCACCAAAGACTAATGAAGATAAAAATTTGTTTTTAACCTCCTTAAATTAAAAGAATTTAATCAGAAATAGAATGACAGGTTGATTAAAATCGGAATGTTTTTATAGAACTAAAAAAGAAAATATCGTCTTATTAGGTATTAATTTGTAAAGTAATATTTCATTCAAGTTTTCTGAGTCGACTTTTCAAAGTCCAGTTATGTTGAGCGAAAACGAAATTTTTGATAAACATGGAACCTAATACTAAAAAAACGTCAGCGAAGATGAATATATTCTTCATATATATATTTTTGAACCGTATTTCTGTTTATTCATGTTAAGTGACACACCGAATTTAAGGGATCTTTTTTAAGTCAGAGTTTCTTGATCTAGAGTCCTGTGACATAGAAGGGCATTATTCTTTTACAATAACACAGACTTTGTATGTGCTTGAATTTATGTGTGTGTGTGTGTGTGTGTGTGTGTGTGTGTGTGTGTCAAGCGTTTAAATAATTTGTCAAATTCTCAAAGGTTTTCATCTGTGGAATGTTAGAAACATGATCATAATATTCTGCACCTCATCCATTGAAAGGTGGAGTCTATTCTGGCCCTTGAATCTGGCCTGTCCTTGTGAATTGCTTTAATTCATTAAACATGGCAGAAGTGACACTGAGTGAGTTCCAGAGTAAGGCTTCGAGAGGCTCTCCAGATTCTGCCTTAGCTCTCAAGGAGCGCTAAGACCACCTTGTGAAGAAGCCATGGGGAGAACATCTCACTCTCTGCAGCCAAATTAGCTAGTGGCCCACCCATGGAAGTAAAGTCAGCTGAATGCAACTGCCTGAGAGAGCCCAGGGGACACCGGAATAACCATCCAGTCGATCCGCAGAATTTTGAGAAATAATAAGCGGGATTGTCTTAAGCCACCAAGCTCTAAGTTCTGGTATATGATGTAGCAACAGACAGGTGGTACCCTAAAAATCTAACACCCCACAAAAGCTGATTTAGAGGTGAAAAGCAAGTTTACCTTCAAATACTTTTCCCTTTACTACAGAGCCTTTTTGACAAATGTGCTAGAAGAGATGACTCTGGTCAGTATTTTAATGATATTTTTCTTCTACTAAGTCAAAAGGCGATAATACTGATTTTCGAAAAAAGTATCATTTTACATTATTTTTGTAATTTTAAAAAAGTTTTTGAATTTTTAATAAATAAAAATTATGCATAGATTTTATCTTTGAAGAAGTCAAAATTTCCAGGATCATTTATCAATACAAGAAGAGCTCACAGGCCTATGTCCATATTCTTCAGCTTAAGCAGCTATTTTTGCAGATAGTATTTGCTTTGTTCTGTTATCGTCTGACTTCTCCTTTTTCTTGATTTTTCTCCTTGGCTTACAGAAGTAATAAATCTAGTGCAGGAAATAGAGCCCAGCTCTGGGAAGTAAGTCTTGCTCTAAGACCGAGAAGCAAGAGTTACCTGCCTCAGTAGGTGGCAAACCGGATGCGGCAATTGCACACTGACTGGGAACTGATCGCTTTCTTTAGCTACCTAGTGAGCTTATCTTGTTATTTTTCTTCATCCCAAATTCTTGCAATGTTGTCAGTGGAACTTCTTGACCTTCTTTATACAAATATACAGAATCTCTAATTTGAACTTTTGAAAGCTCTCGTATGGGAGGAGTCTCCCTCTGAGAAATTGATTTTATGTTCAATGTGTCTTGACTCAAAAATAATAATATATTTATATCATCTATTCTATATCTCCTTTGTCTTATTTATTTCGTCTGAACAAATGCATATGAGTTTCAATGTGGTCTAACTTAAATAGAAAGTGATCTCACTTCAGTTGCCACCGATGATTTACAGATAAATGGTGTTGCTTTTCAATCCATGGTTTATTCAATTGCAGGTTTTTAAAAATCAATTTAATCATCCTAATTCAGAGAATTTATACTGCTTTTTTAAATTTGTATTTTGGAAAAGAACTTAAGAATTCACAGTAAATGAATTAAAGTGAAAGTTAGATATTAAAATCAACAAGCCTCAGAACGCCACGATAGGACAGGAATAAGAGAGAATGGAAAAGTAAGCTCAAGCACAATCTATTTGTTATCTGTTTTTCTAGTTAAGTGTGATAGCTATACTTTGAAATTCCTAAAACCAGGTGGGAGATTTTCTTATTATTTAGGAAATAAACACGTTCGAATTAATGGAGAACCCGTGGATTTAGCATCAACAGTAAAGACAGTACATTTTCCACTCTATCAGTTGACAGTACATTTACCTTCCCAGCAGAACTCTGAAATCTAAGTGTTCCAGGTCCACGTGAGTGCCAACGACAGGCCCACTTAGTAAGTAGTAACTGCCTGTGGCCATGCCCCCTAGGGCAGTCCCTCTGAGCCCACATTCGGACCTCCACCATGGACTCTAGCCCCTGCAGGTCATCAAACTGTCCAGCGGGGCAGGGGCCAGAGACCCAATCACGACCGCTTTGAACCTCCATCTGGTGCAGTCCTTGTCCTTCTCATGAGGCAGGTGAGAACGTCGCCCTATACCCCCACTATCTTTATTTTTGCATTCGTCCCAGACCTTTCTTTGCTTCTCTTAGTCCAGGGCTAAGAAAGTAAAAGCATTACCGGAATTTAATGGATCGAAAGGGGACTCAGAAGAGTGAGGACGACGGGTCAGCAGTGGCCTTTAGGGGCAGAGGGGTTAAAGGAGAGGCAAGGGGCTACTCTCTCAACCAGGCTGCCCCTCCTTCGAGCGGATATGGCCCCCAAAGGCAGCGAGTCCCTCCGGCCTGGAGACAAAGGAAGGCTCAGGGCCGAGCGGTGACGGGGTGGGTGGGAGCAGCGACTCGCGTGAGCTCGGGGACGAGAGAACGCAGCCCCGCCCCTTCCCCTCCCCTACCCCAGGAGGGCGGGGCCCCGAGGCCGCCGGT